AGCCGTTTGGCCTTCGGGGAGCAACTAGACGTAGGAGAAAATTCAGACTCAAAAATCTCCATCGTAGCCGGCCAGTATCCGTAAAGTTCTTTTTAAAAACAATTGTTCAGTATCAAGGCTCACACTAATTTGTATCGCTTTTCATACCACTGTTGATAAAGCCATCCTTGACCCTTTGTTTAATGGGGTTGACGAGACTAAGTGATGGCTTCCATGTGCGTGTTCTTAGCCTTTACTGAGGCTTGACTCACACGAATGTCTGTGATACCAAAAAAAAAAACAGTAAAAGAAGAACTTTCGAGGATGGTTCGCTAGCCTAAGGGCAACATAAGGGCAAAATAAGGTAAACAACAACAAACATTAGCCGATGCACTACTTTGCCACGGCTTTTAAACTCGTCGTCAGCCAATTTGTTGTTGCCAATTTGCCAGATGGTGCTGGCTTTTTCGGGGGGGGGGGTAAAGGGAGGGGGTGCGGTACTTCCTAGTAATTCTGTAATAGACTGATACGGATGTGCCGCAGGATGGGGACGCATTTTACGAATGTATTGACTACCATGGGATTGTATTTTCAAAACAGTTACTAGAATGGGTTGGCACCGTAGATACTAAGTTGAACAGATGTGTCAGTTTGTGTTCAGGACGGCCTAAATAATAATAATAATAATCCATTTATATAGCGCCTTTTCTACAAGATTCAAAGGCGCTGTTTACAAAAAATATAGATAGAAGTAAAAAGTAAAAATAATCGCAAGAAATTAACATTAAAACTAGACGCTAACTACAAAATAGATAAATGTACACAATAGATAAAAAATCAGATAACAAATAAAAACGTCACGATTCATAAGCTCACATAAAAAGAAATGTTTTAAGTTTGCGTTTGCGTTTGTTCAGGACGGCCTAGTTAAAAGGCTTTATAAGCTAGATGAATTAACAGAAAGCGACTAGGTTGGGATAGTGAAAATTACTTTTCCACAAAGTGTCTAAGATGAGATAAAAAAATTGGTCTTAGAATTTGCATTCCGCTCGCGATCGAACGCATGATCGTTGTCACGATGGGAGAGCTCATTCATTCATGCTTCCGTGAGGTGTTGTCATGGCCCTTGGGGCCCACCGTAGATACAAAATTGAAATAAAGAAAGAAAAAAGAAAAAAGTAGAAATATAACAATAACTACTTCCTCCTCAGACGCTTCGTTTTTCGCATAGAGGCTTAAAGCGCGAAAAAGCGAGTGACTGTTGACGAAGCGCAATGGACCATGGGACGGAGAAAGAAGAGAGGAGAAGCCTCGCCAGTTTTCTCCTTCCCGCGCAAATTTTCATCGAGACGGAGAGACGTCTGGGTACGAGGCAGTAAAAATAACCATTCTAGCCATAAACTAGTTCAATTTCAAGCTTTATAAGAAGGCAATCGCTGACGCTCATCACTAATAAGAGCAAACTGTAACAGCTTTTTTTTTTTTCTACAATAGTATGCCCTATCAGCTCCGTATAGTATTTCGAATTTTGTTTTTGAGACTCAAAGTTTTCGCAAAGAATTAATGACTTATAGCCGTCTTTGCCATCTAGCGATTCTTCAGTTTCTGATAGTCGATCGATATTTTCTTAAAATCTTGTGGTTTAAGGCAGCTTAAATTGCATAGAACCATTTACAAGTTTTGAATGTAAACATATTACGGAACCAAAAAGTAAGCAATGACGTCACGTGACGTGCACAAGTTTAATAATTTGCCGACCGCTCAGGTTCTAAGCAACTTAAATTTTACATCACACACAGGTGCAGTTACACAGTCAGTGTTTGCGACTCTTAACTTCCCAAATTCAAAACATTTCATCTTGCAGATTTCGCGTGTGCAAGAATTAGGCTGGGACAAGAGACCACCCTAAGTTTATCATGTCTTGGTTGAGAGTAATCCAGATTTGAGAAACGGCTAAAGAGGGGATCCCAGCAAAACAGAAGACAAGGGGACTTGAAATTCTGCGAGCTTAAGCAACGACGACGGGGACGAAAACGTCTGTTGAAAAGTGAATTCACGCAGTTTCAAAATTCACCGCTGTTATCCAAGTGTCGTTCAGTTTGTCAAATGTTTGGTGAATTTTTCTGCAGTTGAATTCTAAAGTACTGTATATATATTTTTAATTAGAAAATCCTTGCCTTGAGTTCATGTCCCCAACCCAAACGTGAAATTAGGACTTTTCACGTTGTGGTCGCGCAACAGACGGCAGAGAAACGTACATAAAAGCGTGTTATTGTTTTGCTAATCTAAACCTATTGGGTCGGTTATTTAAACGAAGTCTAACTTAGACCACGGTTTAGAAGATCTTTCAGGACCTCAAGATCTCTTCCTTAGTGGACTGTTTTAAGAAGACGAATGCTTTTCAAGTCTACGCCATATGCTTTTATAAAACTATCCACGATAAATGGTGTTCAAACATAAAAGTGTTTGGCAAACTAAAAACGGCTTGGAACGCGGTTTTGTTAAACACCAGCTAAACTCCGTTTAAATATCTGGCCCATTGCTTTTTGCCGTTTTCGTTGCCGTCGTGCTCCTCATAGGCAGCAGGTAACTGAGCAAAGGTCCCATGAAACAGTCAACCTCACAACGGAGCCAGCTGAGTTCTGAATTCCCAGCTGCCATTTTGCGTACGCAAAAGGGATAATAAATGATTGAAGCTGCTCTAATGGACATAACAATTGTTTTATTTCGAACGTTTATGCTCTCCATTTACGCATTTACGTTATTTATAGAAGAAGCTTCCGTTTAAATGTCATTCGAGGCAGAGACAACATCTTGTCTCGCACGGAATCAACTGCCATGAAATAAGCGACCTGTAAGTAATAAAATCCAATATCAATTCCTTTTAACTCGCTCTTGTGCATAACCAATTAAGTAAAATGGCGATATACCTTATAAATGTTTTTTTTTCCTAAGGACTAAATCTATAAAAAATATAACTCATATTATCAAACTAGAAATAATAACGCAATTTGCGATGAGATTTTTTTTCTTTTACTAATCTTGAGGCAATCACAAGGAATTGTTATTGGAAATATAAATTAATTTTAATTGGCAACATCTTTGATAGATTCAAAGTATTTTTGTTTTGGGCCGCCACAAGCAGTTGTGTACAAATTGTCATGTTCACAGACCAATATGATTGGACGAGGTGTAAATCGCCCAAGATGTTTCTATTTAGGCACATGGTCAAAAAACTAACAAAATGGAGTTAGCCGACCAAGAGGCGCCAAAAGGGCCACTATAACACAAACTACACGGGAACTTATATCTGGTATTGCACGCAATGGTTTGCGTCCATTAATTCTTCTGCAATCCGATTCATGGGATTATTCGCCAAGTTTAGACAAGAAGAGACCGCACTTTGTAGTAAATTTTCTCATTCTACTTCTGAGCTTCGTCAGTAATGTTGCAAATATTACGAGGGGCAACAGTCAAATAAACTTTTCGCGTTTTGTTTATATTGTTAGTTCTACATCATACTTTTTGAAAATTCTCAGTTCATATCAGATCATACAAAATCTACCCGGAAACAGCGCACGATCCTTTCCGTTTCACGCTTTACCAAAATTTGTCTTATATTTTATTCATTCTGTGATTTTATTTTGGCCAGACGTAGCGTGAGGACGTTAGGCGAGGAAAAGCAGTAAACAAAGAGTTTCCAATAGTCTTACCAAGAATACAAATAATTTACGAGTTTTTATAATTAATCAGTGAGTCAAACGTCTTCTCTAAATCGGTGACCAAGCTCGTGAAAGTCTAGATGATAAAGGGTGATTTAGCACCAGAATGAGTAAAGACGAAGCAACGGAGTAATACATTTAGCCGAACAACGGTATGTTTGATGGATATTGTCGGAGAGATTGTGAATACCACCCATCGGGGATTTCTATTTTTGCTTGGAGAACAAAACAGTCGAGATATCCTTTTTCTCAAGGTCACGGTGAACTCTTCTTTACTTTTGTACGAGTGCTGCGGGATTCAGTTTTACGAAACAAGTAAAAAAGCTTCAAAGTCAAGGGACAACATTATTACAGAGCTGTTTACGAGAAATTTTAGTTACATAAGCCATGAAAAAAAAAAAATAATAAAGGACTTCGAAAGATAATTATTGTAAATGGTCCACATATGGTTTTCTTTTTATGCGTTTTTTAAATATATGTTTTTCTTTTCGCTTCAGATACTCTCGAATAACAAACAAATTTCAATACGGCGGACTACACAAAACAAAATATGTTTGAATTTCGTGGCTTTGACGCTTAGGTAAACAAATGCGATATGCCCCATTTCGCTTTTTGACTTTGAATGTTAGGTTCTTTGCTAATCGTCTTTTCCGACTCCTAAAATGGATGTCCCCTAGCGACGGAAATGTTCCAGGACTTTTGAAAATGAAATAAAGTCTTTAAAGTCGCTAAACACGTGGCTTTTAATATGTCGAAATGACAAAGATAGATAGCAAATTCAGCTGGGCGGGATAGATAATCTGAGAAAACAATAATCCTATGTTTGCCAAAACTAGATCTTTTCATTTACTAACCAAGCATCAACCAATCACATCCAAGACTTTTTTGACGGTTTGTCCTTCACGAAAGCGATTTCTTTACCCAAGGTCGTATTTTGTCTACGGTGCATCTTAGGAGAAAATAGCTCGCCATCAGTTGAGCTTCGGCAAAAACGACCTCGGCTTGAAATATTCGTTTGGTTTTTCGCCTTACTGTTTGTTGCAGTCGACAATCGACACGGATGAATAATTATTTGGTGGTTAGTTTCGAGTGAGAATTATTTCGAACCAATCTTCTTACACTGCTGAAATAGACCGTGAGAGCGTCTTCTCCCACACAAATATTTTGTTTAGATGGCTAAAAGAAGATTGCAGGCGTGGGAGATCCATTGTTTTTCCTTCCTATGTTTATTTTTGTTTTTATTTACGGGTGCCAATTACGTGACGTCACGCTGTAAAGCGAGGCTTTGTTTGGGGTTCAGGGTAAATTTATGAACAACAACGCGCGGGATTGTTTAGAAGGAAAATTTTCATTATTATTGTCTGAAGTCGCAACCTGATCGCCGAGAAGAATTTTCAGTTTCGGGCGAAGGACGAAAGAAATCGCGTTGTAGCGAAGAAACAAGTGTCTATCAAATGTGACTTCAGCTTTTCATTCATTGATATTCCTGGCGGCATATGTCAAGGTAAACGTGCTTTCAACCATCAACAAGAAACTCACTGTTTATCTTATTTGCATGCCGTATTTTAGCGAGATCTTGCTTGCTTAAGAGCTCGGAACGGAAAGAGTTTGAGTTGGAAACAAGTTTGGTAGATCGTTAAAGTGGTTTCCTGGTGTTTTATTCGCCAATCGAAAGCGAAATTGCCAGCTTTATTGTTGTTTACACGAAGCTTCCATTGTTGTTGTTTATGGCGTGGCAACTCGAAGAGAAAAGCGCTTCGGAAGAACTTTCTACAGGTAACAGTCAACATATGAATCGCGGAAAAAGTTCCTTGATTCTTTGGGGAGTTCTTTTTTTCTAGTTTCCAGCAGTTTTACTAAGATATATACCTATTCAAGACACGGAAGAGTTCAATCAGAATGAGTCATCAGGCCAGAAATTTATTCAAATCATAGCCATATGGCACATGGAGCAATTAATGCGCTCTTTCCCGTGGACTCAATTGTAGTCAGTCTGTTATACAGTTTGCTTATCTCTTTTGCCAGGAGATCTAATCCTTTAACTGAAATCATGCCCAAAAAAATTGCAAAAGCATGAATTTTTGCGGACAGCAAAGAAATTGACATAACCACTGAATTTCCGGCTTCGCGTACTTCCACGCTCATCTTCCGCGTGCAGATCTTTGAACCGTGAAAATGAGACGAGAATTTGAATTTAATGCGCCCTTTCTTCGCGTAAAATGTTTAGAGAAATGGTTTAAGAAATGATAACCTGCTCTGCGTTTTTTTAACAGCTGTGGAGACGGGTACTTTTTCGACGCAGTGAAGTCCACGAGAAATAGGGCACTTCAATATTCTGAGCAAGCAAAACAGTTAATCAATGGCGAACAACTCAACCGACAATGAAGCAGTGGTTAGTGTCACGTCCTCTACAACAAGTCTGCGAGGATCAACAGTAAGAAGAGTTTAAAAATAGCTTTATACTTACATTTTGTTCACGCGACGTATATCCCCTGGCAGAATCTACGAAAATGCAAAAAAGTTATCAGGAATCATTTCGAACGCAGCACATGTGAGCTAATTTATTACGCCTGGATTAACATAAGCTTATTTTGTTAGTGATATCGAAATTATGAAAACCACTGTTGAAAAATGAAAGTTTTGTGCAATGTTAAAGCATCTCAAAATCTTGTTTCGTTGCTGTCCAACCGCCGATTAAAAATGTAACGAAAATCTTTGTTGGAGTAAATTACACCGTGTTATCCCCTGTGCAAAAGTAATAATCCTTCTGGGGTAGGGAGGGTATGATTGCGCGTAGGCAAAAATTTGTAGCCACCGATTATAAGATATATATTTTTCTTTAAATTACATGTAACTTTTGAATTATGAAAGTGAATGTTTTACCAATCTACTTCAATTGTCGAATAGAAATTAAGAGAAGCTAATAACTTTTGATAATCTTTAAAGTTAGGGAAGTGATTTTGTGACTCGGTTGAAAAAGGAGAAAATAGAGTCACTGACTCGCTGAGGATAATATTGGCTTAATAGCACTATATATTATGCACGTTATGAATACATTATTACACACATGCCAACTCTCCTGGATTATCCGGGAGTCTCCCAGATACGACAACAATCTCCCGGTCTCCGGTACAGGGAGTTTTGAGTTTTTCTGTACTTTAATTTAGAATTTATCCCATTTTCTCCCAAAATTTGAATTTTCTTTGATTCAAAGCTTGGTTTCTGGGGCATTTTCGCATGTATTTCATCACTGACAAAGGTTATTTCACCATTACATTCCTAATTGTGGTCTGTACCTGATGTAAGACTTCATATAATGTCCTAAGCCGATAAGGGACTGGATACAATTGTGCTTATGGGGGGGTTGGGGTCAGGGGGGTTGATTGTTGATATTCAGGAGGGGGGAGGTTAGTTCAAAAGAAAGAGTCTCCAGATTTTAGATTTCCAGATGTTGGCATCTCTGTTATTATTAGAAAATAACAGTATGAGCTATTTTGTTCCTCACAGGCCAGAGTTACTTCTCCCTCAAAAACTCCTGCAAGATCTTCAAGTGTGGATCTTACAACCAAAGGAAGCCAAGACTTGTGCTCCTCCTCAAATTGTGCATGTGGGTCACACACTCCACACAAGGTCACACAGCAAAATAAGCATAACACCTCTCAATCTTGCTGCTGCAGCCGTGACGTTCATGTTCCAGGGATGGTCTATCAGCATGTCACACCGGCAGTCACTAATGTTATGATTGATGCATCAAATGCTGCGTCTCAGGATTCCAAAGTGTCTTCTAAACACGGAAGCGTCCACTACTGTGCAACATGTCCACCTGGGCCACACACCCACCATGTGTTCTCACCTGCTGGGTGTCATCCACAGCAGTCTGCAGCATTCATGGAGCATGCTCACTGTGGTTGTCAACCTGGATTTGTTGATGGGCATTTTCACTTCCCGCATCAACAGACCCCACCCCGACCAGTTACTGTCATGGCAGCACATCCACCACCATTACTATTGCGACCTGTTCAGCCTCAGCATATGCAACAACATCAGGTGAGACAACAGTCATGTCCACAATAATTTGTGGTGAATGAACATTATACCTGGAGGCACAACAGCACCAAGCTTTAACATCCCTTGACCTGGCCTGAAAAAAACAGCCCACATTTCATGACTCAACCAATGGCTTTCCCATGAAATGATGCTTTAGGGAAAGTTCATTTAATATGACAAGGGGGGGGGGATGAAGATATTGAGGGGGGGCTCCGAAAATTTTTAGACACCCAAAGGGGGGGCTCTGAAAAAATTGTTGCGCTAGGAGGGGGGGCTCCGAAAATTTGTATACTTCAAAACCAACACATGACATCATCATACAGATCAGATAGTTTTCAACTCAACAATTTAATGACCTGTGCAACTCAGCTATATCACATGGTTTACAGATGTAACAAATGTAGTCTCAGTAATTATTACACTCTTGTTCATCCCAAAAATGCTTTAGAAAATTGTATCACAACTGTATCTCAAGTTTGTCATAGTATAAACCATTGAAGACAATAACGGTAAATATATTTAATACAGTCTAGCGATCTTTTTTCAGGGGAGCAAAGGAATTGAAGGAGGAGAGGGGGGGGGGCTCTGAAATTTTTTCGACTACCAAGGAGGGGGCTCCTAAAAATTTGAACCGCTAGCGAGGGGGGCTGCTAAAATTTCAAGCTTCGAGTTTCAATATCTTCATCCCCCCCCCTTGTCATATTAAATGAACTTTCCCTTAGTAACTAGTTCAGAAATAACATGCTGATGATGTATGTTGACTCAGAACTGGCAATAGCCTGTTCCAGGTTCTCAGATAGTGGGGAAGATGCGAAAGTTTAGGGCGCGTGAAAATGGGGGCAGGGCGGGAAAAAGTTTCTTCCCATTTTTTTTTCTTGTTTGCACTTTCTCAATTCAGAGGGCCCGACTATCTCAGAGCCTGGAAAAGGCTGAGGAAAATTTGCTTCAAACAGACATCATTTTACTGGGAAACCTGAGTGGTGGCATCTCGAAGTATTGGCAATTTTCTCAGGGTACCCTTGACCTTGACCTCATTTTGCCTTCGTCGTTTCTTCAAACTTGAGTGTCTGACACTTTTCTTAATGCCCGTACCCATTGCCTTCTACAGCAACTCCAAGTCCCCCATTAAATTAATAAAGTACAGTCGTCAGTTTGCCTTCCAAACCATCAGTCGGTTGCCGGGAATCAATTATAAAGATACTGGTGATCATGGTGATGACTATGATGATGATGATGTTGTGATGATGATGATGATGATGATGACAATAATGATGATGATGATTACCCCTGTAACTTAATGTAAATTCAAATCTGTCATCACTCTATAGTGTTATGAACAGTGCAATAATACTAACAGACCATGTTTCTGACTTGATGGCTTTTGCAGGCAATATTGGAGCAAGAGCTTCGCCCTTATTTTGACGGCAAATGGAAAGGTCTTGGAGACCCTCATCTTTCTAACTTTGGTAACAAATTTTATTATAATTTATCATTTTCAAAAGAAGATTGTGTGTATAGTTGTTTGTTTTTGTAAGTTTTTGTTTTTTTGTCACTAAACTTCATTTATGGATGGTATTTATTGTGGGTGAAAAAAACAGGGCAGTATTTTTTTTTTCCTGGAACAAAATATGAAGTGTATAAATATTTTAATCAAAAAATCTTTTTTTAAATAATTGAAATTGATATCATTATTTTCAGGTGGAAGATCTCAGCCATCAGAAGGTGCAGTGTAAGTTACATTCATGTTTGTTTGTTTGTTTGTTTTTTTTTTGTTTCGTTTTTCAGATATGCCTGAGAAAACAGCCAACACTTGAATACACCACCACTGGTTTCCCTGTGAAATGGCAACTCGGCTGTGTGTTGTGCAGGAAATTTGCTTCAACCAATCAGATGCACTACCCGGATTTGGGTAATAAAACATCATCAGTATGGAATTTCTACAGTCATTCCTCTGATCAATGCCATTTTATAGGAAAATCAGTGATGGACTGTCAAGAAAGAAGTTGGTAGTGTTCTCATGCCACTCTTCTATCACCCTTAGTAGTACGTTGTACATTACATACTCACAGCTGTGCAGATTGTTAAAGTGCGATTATGTCGTACAAAGGTTTTAACGACATGTGGAAGATATAGTACATGTACATCTTGCATATGATAACAATATTAGTCAGTGTAAGTTAGAAAGTATTTTTTCCTTTACTTGTTAATTTTCTAGTTGCCAAGGGCACCCATTTATAACAGCTTCAGCTGACGGGGTTTACCCTGGTTAAATATCTTATTCTCTGGGTAACTTTTCTTGCTGAAACCTCGAAAGACTTGGAAATAATCCTCATAATTATCGTACTGAGTTTTACGAATCGTCTTTCACGCACTAGCCTTTATCTTAGCCTTAAAACAACTGTTAGTTTTAGCCAAACCTCTTCAGGTTTGAATAAAACTGTTACTGTGTTTTAAAACTGAAAAGATAAAGGCTAGTGCGTGAAAGACGATTCGTAAAACTCAGTACGATAATTATGAGGATTAAATATCTTATTGTTATTATTGTTATTATTATTATTATTATTATTAAGTCATTGTTTCTTTCACAGCAGATTGGGTTATGTGTCACCTGATTCTGACTAGCTGACATGCTGTGTCTGTAATGAAATGAAATTATATTTGTAATTAGCATTAGTGACTGGTTTTCATGCATCATGCAGCTGTGGTTGTTTGGTATAAACTAATTCGTGTTATCTATTTCAACCAGGTCAACAGGACCTTTTATTAGTGAAGCCCAAGCAGGTAAAATGTTGATACTTGACGATCAAAATTAATGAATTATTATATCTGTTTTTTTGGGAAATTTCTGTCAATATTATATAGTCAAGTGATTTTAGTCAGAATGGTATTGAAACCATAAAAGGCATCAAGTGTAGGCCTAGGATAAATACTGACTGATTTCCTTAAAGAGCACCGAAGGCGCAATCTTCTAGGGTCTCCCGTAAAGTCCCCTTTCCTGGGATTCCAAGACATTCAGACAGGATATTGGCCAGTTTCATTCACCTTGGCTGAATCCTTGCAACTTGGAAAGTTTTTTATTTAGTAAAAATATATTCACATAATATTTGTATTATGAAAAATCTGACCGATTTCCGTAAAAGCGGTGGAAACTGGATCCATCTTAGTAGAAAGTTGTAGGTTAAGTCTCAAAAAATTTTGACCCAATCTAAAAAACTTGGAAGCAATTCACATCCTGACATGGTATGTTATAATAATTGCACGTGTCTTTCAGTCCATCTCAGACTCTGAACATTCCTGTTTTTAGACAAGAGTCTCACGGTCTCGGGTAGTCTTGAATTCTATTGTTAGATGCCTCCTCTAATACAGGTGGCAGTATGTGTAAAAGAAAAAAAAGGCATTCATTTAACTACTTGATTCATGTATGTAAAATGTCACTTTTGTTTAATTTACAGCCCAGCTTCACCCCTTGTTCCACCACAATATCTGCCAATGGCCAGGATGTGAGGCGTTTTGTGAAAATTTTCAACAATTTATGCAGTAAGTATGGTGCAAAGCTTATTGATTTTTTTAAAAATTAACATGTTCTTTAAGATATGGTCTTGACATGTTTGCTCGCCTTTGATATTTTTGGACTAACCAGTGTGCATTCTCAGTTTAACCGTTTAAGCCCCAGTATCCACATACAAATTCTCCAGACTGATCTCCATACATTTCTTTTAAGAATAGTTGAAAGAATTTGCTTTAAGATCTAAGCATTCTCCCTTTGGTAATCAATTTAGTAATTCTCATAACCTTTACTCTTCATGATCTGCTGATGTTGTTAGGAGAAAATTGATGTTGGTCACTCTTGGGACCGAAAGGGTTAATGGTTATGTAGATGGTTCTGATATACCCTGTGTAACTGTAAGATAATCAACTGTGTCATCATCATCATCATCATCATCATCATCATCGTAGTCATCATCTTCGTCTTCATCATCATCATCATCATCGTCATCGTTGTCATCATCATCATCATCATCATCATCATCATCATCGTCATCATCATCATCATCATCATCGTCATCATCGTCATCATCATCATCATCATCATCATCATCATCATCGTAGTCATCATCATCATCATCATCATCATCATCGTCATCGTTGTCATCGTCATCATCATCGTCATCATCCTCATCATTGTCATTGTCATCAATATCATCATTCATAATCATCGCTGTTAGCGATCTAATTTATTTTCCCGTCTCTTTGGAAATATTAATAGACAGAAAACCAGTACAAGTTTATTGTCTATTTTACTTACGCATATTTGTTGTATTTTTAGTCACCTGAATGCAGACCATGCTTTGGATGAGAGAAGTACTGCCCAAGCTAGAGTACAAATGCAAGTTGTCATGCACTTAGAGCTTCAGGTAATAGAGTACTAAATATATACCGGTATGTTATAAAAATGAAATTTCTGAAATCATGGGATTTGTCAGGATATTCTGAAAGAACAATGTCCAAGAGGCCTACTTGCCAAAAATGAGCATGTTGGGGCAAATTGTCTCTGAGATGTTAACCGGTTATGCTCAGAAAACTCCCTACAAACCCTTCTAATTTTTTGGAGAGTCGACCAAAAAAAATTTGGAAGGGTTTGTAAGGAGTTTTCTAAGCATAACTGGGCTACCTCGCTCTTATTACGTGTCCAAAATACTGGCATTTTCTTTTCTTTATTGTTGGTGATAATGAACTTATTGTATTTGCCATCTTTAAAACTTCTTCATTGGTTTTATGTTCCATCCACGATACTCTTAACATTCTTCTATACGCCCACACCTCAAAAGCCTCTAATTTACTTTCCATGGTGTCGGCTTACAGTGTAACGTCTTTAATTTATATTCATTTTATTTTATATGTTTATTATTTTATTTTATTCTAGATGAACAAGGAACGCGAGAGGCTATCAGCGATGATGAATCATCTCCATTCTCCAAAGGTAATACGGCGACGTGTGTCTTTCTTTTTTTTTTCCCCTTTCTTTTGTTTTTTCTTTTGTGTAAGTCAGTTAAAAACAAGATTGATTATTGCTGGGGCGGCAGAAAAATATCTTGATTGACACCGTTCCTAAACAAATATCGAGAACAAAAAGGACAGGTGTTTTCTAGTAATTAAAAGTTTTACTTGTTGACTTGTTTTGGTTTAAATGATGGAGTGACATTTAAATAATTAATCTATTTGACAGTGAATAGCAAACTAATGATATTGGAACGGCGTTTATGGTCATTTTTATGTATTACGATAGATATATTGACTCTTAGTTAACCCGAGTAAGTCCGTCGAATCTTTTCGTAAAATGTCGTTTTAGCGGCCTCGAAAATGCAAAAAATCAGAAGGAAACACTTTGTGTTCAACTCAGCTGTTATTTGACTCGTCGCGACAGCAGGAAGAAATAAATCTTGCTGCCCAAACCAATAGTTTTCTGATCACAGAAAATGAATTTATTCCCCAGCAACAACGTGAAACCTTTTCTCTTGACGTTTCGGTAAAATCACGGTTCTGTTTTTTTGTGCTATATCGCGACTGTATTAGGTCACATGACCAGTGGCACCCAACGAGAATATAGTTCAAAACCACTTAAACATAGCATTGTTAAACGTATTTTAGTATTTAAACGGTAGATATAGGCATATTTTTATCCCCTATAAATTTTTCATCTGTTCGGATTTCCTAGCTGTAAGTCTCGAGATCCGAAAATCATAGGGATCAAAACTTACCTTTTCGAAAATTTCAGCCAGAAAAAAGGCTCCCGAAAATTCTAGGTGAGCTTTTTAGGGTAAAAATCCGTTAAAAATGGGCAATTACACCAATTTTTAGATGTTCGAAAATCCTAGGAAAGGTAGGCAAGCAAGAAATTTTACAAAAAATGTTCCGAAAATTCTAGATCTCAAATCGTCTTCCGAAAAGATATTTTTCGAAAATTGACGTTGGGTGCCCCTGCATGACCACCATGGTCATGTGACAGAAGACTGAGCAACACAGGGTTAAGAACCTTTTGCCCACAATCTGTGTATTTTAAAGGGCCACCCTGATATTTCTTGAAACCAGATTCTCTTCCTTTTAATACCGGGATCTTACCGTCAGCCGCCGGTGTGACCCTGGATGGCCAAGGAGGGGTGTTTGCTATCCGTCTGTTCGAGGACGCGCATACTGAAAGTCCTGTCCGTCGTTCCCTCGTAATTAGGGACCTTAAGAACTGAGGACGGCGTCGCACCGAGAACGTCGAAAAAGCAATTATAGTTTTAATTCGCAAAACAACAACTCTATACTCGCATCACAGTTTTTTTGTACAATTCTTTCCCATCACTGCAAGACTACGACGTGAAAAATCTTAATTTAACAAATTAAGGAGGACGTGAAAAAAATGCCACGGCGAAATTTTCTTTCTCTTTCTGAACTGGAATATGGTTCTTACCAATTCAAATGCAAGAGAGTTCCCATACATTTGACAAAAGATAAAAGCGGGTTGGGTTTGTCGCAATGAAGATTGAAAGAACCCGAATTTAATTTTTTAAGCGAAGTTTTCGCCGCTGTCACCGTCTTTGGATCTTAAGGTCCTTAATCGTCCCATAAATTGGCAAACCGTAAAACGATATCACTATGCCTAACTTATCCTTGTCTTCTTCTTTTGACCACAGGTTGCTCAACATTCGCCATCATCGAACCCAGAAATGGATGAAGAAGGAAATCAACGTGCGCCTCACTCCCAAGCCCAGCCTCTTCTCCATGTTACTCCTGGCCCACCCCCTCACATGCCGACCTCTCCGGTACAACATTCCCCCACTATGGGAGGTAGGCAGGAGATGCCATTGTCTCCAAACAGCCCGCCTCCAACTATGGGAAGTTCCCCAAGGAAGTCCCCGCCTCCCAACATTACTGTGCATGATATCACACGACAACCCGCCGACTCGATTGCTGTTGTTTCTGCGCCTTCGTGTCACATGGTGGAAGAAAAACCCTGTCACGTTAAGAGGCGAAACGGCGACCCAGATGGAATAGCCATGGGGGAGTTGTGGAAACTTAGACCCCCCCCCCCCGGGGAGGGGGGGGACTCCCACATACAAGTGACAGTGATAGTCGTCTTCTCTCCTATGGGTGTAAATTGCAGATTTTCGTCTTATTTACGGTGTTTCGGACGGAAAGTCACTATATTTGCGCATTCAGGTATCGCTTAGGGCTGTGCTTAAATCACATAGCAATGCAAAATTAAACATTCCAGTAATTCAACAGTCGCCCGATAATCATCTGTGAAAATTGTCATTGTTGTTGTAGATATCGAGCGGTCAGCAGATTTCTACCAGAAGGCGGATGTCAGGCCCCCGTTCACTTATGCGTCGCTAATTAGACAGGTAAATACGTTTTTGATCTTTCTTTGGATCAATAAAAAGGAGTTTAAGGCAAATCAAGACCAAGCAAGTCTAATATAGAGAAATGGTTTAATCGGATTCAAATCGGCGTACCTCTCTCTATCTATAACTGCATATACTTGTGCGTGTAATTGTGATTATGATTATTTAATATTAATTTGATATCATTTATTTATTTTTTTGGTTGTTTTTTTTTTGGCTTACCTACAGGCTATCTTAGACTCACCCGATCAGCAACTTACATTGAACGAAATCTATTCGTGGTTCATACACAAGTTCGCTTATTTTAGAAGAAATGCCGCCACTTGGAAGGTAAGATGGGGTCTGAGTTAACTTCCTTTTCACAAATTGCTTGTGGGAGTACTTAAATCGAGAAAGCCCCATTGTAAAATCATCATTGCGTTCGATGTAGAAGAACGCACTCCTAATACAGATTGATGCGATATTTTTTGCGGGACAACGTAGGACACGTATCTGGCTTATGTAACACGCAGGGGCAAATGAGAGTCTTGGATCGAGAACAGTCGACGCACTCCGTAATCGTTGATTATTACTTAAAGATGTGATTATTTTCTTTTCTTCTGACAGAACGCTGTCCGCCATAATTTGTCTCTTCACAAATGTTTTGTGCGGAAGGAGAACGTAAAAGGAGCCGTGTGGATCGTAGACGAGGATGAGTATATGAAACGCCGTCCTCAGTCCAAAGTGACGCACAGCAGTGCAGCACGGTGAGCTTTCTTTTCGGTATTTTCTCCGTCTCATAAAGCAATGTAAGACGAAATTTCCAGGAGGGTTTGTGCGCCCCGTGAGTAACACTATATAGAGGATATTACACGGTGGCGCGAAGATGTAAGTTTTATTTTCGAGTGGCAAAACAATATTTTATGAACGAGCGCAGCGAGTGGGTAAAATAATTATTGTTTTTGCCACGAGAAAATAAAATTCATATCTTCAAGCCGCCGTGTAATGTTCTTTTTATTATATAGACAAAATGATATCGATAAAATAATAGAGGGAAATTACCAAAATTACGTCATCGATAAACTCGCGTGTGAGATTATGGAGAATAAACCACTCGGGTGCCGGATGTAGTTTTTATGAATTTTACGAGTGGTATATTTTCCAGTAAAACATTCGTGTCTATATAATAAAACTACTATCAACGCACCTTCTAATTTTCGTTTTACATCGTGCTAGAAGACTGGTGAGGCAAGAGCGAGAACGTTTAATGCAACAAGGAGCCTTGGGAGGCCTTCCCACTCAGGTCAACTTGATGGCTGTCAGCGTCTCCAACTCTAATGACGTCAGCGAGGATGAAGGTTCCAGTCAGGAGGATGGTGGTCGCAAGAGAAGCTCGGACGAGGACACTGGGGACGAATCACCGTCCCATAAGCGCAGAGATGTGAGAGACGGAGAAGAAGTGGAGGGCGTGGTCGGAGGAATCACTAAACTCGTGGAGTTTTGCTCCAAAGACATAAAGTAAGAAAACTAGTGAAAAGCTAGTACTTGTGGCTGGTGAACATCTTAGTTATAAAGGAAACTTGAAAAGTACACAGTAATTTTCAAGGAGTTATAATAACTCCTCTAGTGGGGCTAATTTAACTTCTTACAATGGAGTTATTTTTTGGGGAGTTATTTTAACTCCAAAAAGGAGTTTAAAGAACTCTTTTTCAGGAGTAAAAGTGACTCCAGATATTGAGGAATTAAAATGACTCCCAAAAAGGAGTTATCCTGTACCTAAAATCTTTACTCCACTTTCAGAGTTAAATTAACTTCAAAAAGAGTAACTCCAGACTGGGAGTAAAAGGAACTCTTTTTCAGGAGTAAGAATGACCCCAAATTCGGACTTAAATTAGGAGTTAAAGTAACCCCAAAAAAGGGGTTATCCTGTACCTAAAATTTTTACTCCATTTTTGGAGTTATAATAAAAATTACGGTGTACCCAGAGTTTTTATTGCATACAGGCTTTCGGGCGTTGGACAACACGAATAGATAATTTTATTGCTCTTCTGCCAGTCGCTCTTCTCTAGACGGGGATATATGAACGGTGCGAGCAAATAAGAGGGAGAGAATTTGAAAAAAATATTTTGGCAACATCCTAGAACTACAGTCTGCTTGTGTCAGAAATAGGATTTCATTGTGTATGTAGTAGCTGATAATCAAGTTAGAATTGTTTTTTAGTTCACAGATATGGAATAAACCTTTACGCACACTTTCAAGTATAATTCAGTGCCCCCTTGAGAAATTCATGAAAATTTCAGTAATGGTTAATAAAGGGCGATTAATGGTAAATCAACAATGGTCATTATGATGGATCAATGTTGATCCGGTGGTCACCTCTATTTTGTTACATCTGCAGCAGTCAATTGTCACAGTCTCAAGTGCAAGTAAAGCTAGAGCCAACCGAGGATGGTGCAATCGTTGCGATAAACGGTGACAGCCAATCAGACGATGGGAATTACCATTCCTCGCACATGAACGGGAGCATTTTAATGGAGACTGGGTCCAGTGAAGAAGAGGTTAGGCAGCGGTAAGATGTTGACATGTCCTAAATCCCCGGCAAAAAAACAAATAAGCAAACAAAACTAAAAAGCAAAAGTGAAGCCTTCACTCCCCAGTACAGAGACTATAAGAGAACTGGCTACCAGTTATCGGCAAGTTAGACAAGTGTTTTATAGTTGTGATTGGTTAATGGTTGCCCTGGATACCATGAACCAATCATAACATTGAAAAGAAACTACTGATGTTGTTGGTGATTATTGGCTGCTAAGTAACCTGAGATCAGGCCCAATTTGAGCGGTTCTCATACATTCTCTCTTACGGCTCGTTTCGCCTTGCCCGCCGGAATGTAATTTTCAAAGCGAAACGAAAATAGAGCCTGATCTCAGGTTAGCTGCTAAGGCACAATGATGACCATAGTAACGAAAATGGCAGTTACGAAGTGAATTAACGTTCTGTTAGACTTCATGGTGGTTATCGAAATTCACTGAATTCACTGTTAAGTCCTGGAGTTGAATTCTTAGGCCAGGGCCAAAGGGTCCAACTTCACGTAAGCCGAACCTTACACCAGTGAGTGAGAACAATAGATTTTGCTTTAGAGTATTAGGTTCGGCAGATGTGAAGTTCGACGTTTGACCATGGCCTTTGGGAGCTCATCCTAGTTCAAGGAGAGAAAGAACAATTGTTGTCTTGTGGTTACGTCCTCCACAAAAACGTCGCGTTAAGACGTTGTCACATCGTAGTCGTGTGGTGACGGCGAAGAAATTTACCAAAGGTGTTATGCACGTGCGGCGCTTTCTACTGCTTATTATATCTACTGCATTTTTTATTTGACTTCCTCTGTCAATTGTTAACAGGCCAAGAAGCTGATGACCCAGTTTGGACTAGAGGCAGTTTACGCTCACAGAAGGAGAAGTGGGACTCAAGTGGAGCTTGCAGTTGTGCATTAGCGATTGAGATGGATGTCGTAAAGATATAAATTTTTATGAGAAGAGTGCCTCAGCCTGGGCCTCCTTTAAGATAACTATTTTCAATAAGATCGCACGTTGACGTGAGATGATGATGATAATGATTATCAACAACATAAAGGCATGGGACGAATTTTCGATCGGCTGAAAAATCTTGACCGGACAGTCACTTAATTCACATGATGGAATTTAACTCTTTTTTCGACCGCACCGGCAGAAAATTTGACCTCGCTTTTGGCGTTCAAATTTTGGAACGGCCAGTCGTCTAAATTTACGTATAGTTAAAGGTTTTCCGTGTAAAGGATTGGCTAAACGCACGAATTTTCAACCGTTCAAAAATTCGTTCCGCTGCGTAGCCCAATAAGAGTAATTAATTTAAAAGTAAAGAGTTTCGTGAAATCTGAAACAATTGTGAAATGGAGTGAGAGGAACTGTGATCAACAAATGATTAAAATGATAGGTATAAAGGGTGTCAGAACACTGAAACAGTCTAATCTGGGAAATACTTTCGAGCTCTAACTGTCTTTGTTTTTCCTAACAAGATTTTTGATATTATAGTAATACTGTAAGTATATAAACAAACTCCTGACCAGTAGAATTTAGTTCTATTTGAAGAAAACGAGATGGCTATTCTAATAGATAACAAAAACAGTCTCATTTTTGAATTGTTTCGATAGATTTGGGCAGTTTTTGAACCAAAGGCCTGGAGCATGTTTGAAAACGAGTGGGATTAGGGAGAACGCATATGTGGCACGCAATCATTGCTTTCGGTGCACAGAGAAAAAGACACAACTGTGTCGCAGCTTAATTTATTTTAGCATCCAAAGGATCTTAAATGTTCTTTATTTCTAAAAGCCTTTTTTTTAACTTATGAATAATTATCTCATTGGTCCTTTCCTTTCAGAGCCCACGGATAGGTAACTAGTAATGTATTTTCCTTTAGATTAGTGGATTATTTCACAGGCTTACTATCTTCGAGCGTACCACCGACACACCATTTTGACGAGAGTAGCAGTTATACTGCTTTAATTCTAATAGTTTCAGACTAGCCTTTCTAAAAGGCGATGACAGCATTTCTTTGACGAATGCCGCTAAAGCCTGGTCCACTTAAGCCTATTCCACTGGATATAATATTTTTGTTTTGTTTTTGTTTTTTTTTAAATTTGCCAACAAACGTTAGAAAATTTACTCAACTTTTGTGACAAATGTTCTTGTCCAAAATTTCACCTTTTTCCCATGTATGTCTCCGCTGGTCAGCGTCATTTCTGGAGCTTATCTGAGCGCGTTTTCTTCCTAAAACTTGTTGCGTTGTGTAGACGAACAAATGAATTTGTTACGTAAAATTAGTAGATAACGTTTTTTCGCGTGCATGGAGCTTAACGAAAAATAATGATGGCATCTCTGTAGTTCATTGTCCTTATCCACTGCTCAAGCCCTGACAGTTTTTTATCCTTCTTCTTCTTCACTTTTTAGTAAAATAACTGTATTGCCTAAATTAATACAAAGTTGTGTTTCGTTTTGTGTCTTAAAATATTTACGATCATATGATGATAACTACATAAAATACAGTCAACAAGGAAATTAAATTATGATGTTGATTAATTATAGTGATAGTGATGTAATGAGATGTAATGTTTTAATTTAATGCGGGATTTGCGCAATATGCGTTAACCCAAGAGAAGAAATAAATTATTTACAAACAAGTGAAAAGACGCGTTGTTTTTAGAGTTGCTGCGATGTAGAGTAAGTGTCGTAATCTCGTTTCCAGAGGCTGCGATGCTTTTGATCAGCAGTGTATTTCTATAAGGCCTGTTCCACTGGACAAAGGTAACGATTTAGAGGAGTGCCCTGAACGACTTTCCGGTTGGACGTGTTTATCGTGAATTTCCGAAGTAGGCCGACCGAATCGGAAAGTCCGTTTCCATCTTGCAGCAATTTCCGTTTCAGCCACCATCGGAGATGAATGTTTGACAATTTTTAAATAGTTTTTAGAATGTATCACATTACGAAAAATGGGGGAGGGGAGGGGGGGTTGGTGTTTAAATTTATGGACTGAAGTAAATCCCTTTGTGGACAAAGATCAGAAAGACCGTTAACATAAAGATACCACTGAGCCTGTAAGCGGACAATGTGTGTTCCCTTTTCTATCCTTCCGTCCTCCAAAATGTCAATTAATTAATTCACTTCAATTTCCCCAAAATATGGCTGCATTGCTCCCGAAGGGAATAGCTTGGCTAATGTCGGACAACTTATTAATATGCAATCAAGAGTTAATTTATGAAACTGCCAGTGTATTCCCTTTTCATTTTAGAGTGTAACGCCCTTATGTTTTCTTTAGTTCGCGTTGCTTTTTATTTAACATTAATTGGAGTCAATAGGCCATTTGCACGATGGCGTCATTTTACTACTACAACTAGAATTATTTTCGTTTTTCCTTTCATATTTAAATTTGATAATCTCAGTGAGGTTTCGATTACAAAAGCGCTAATTTGCACAAGAACGGCAAAATCCTGAAGGATTCTGGTCGTAGTAGTAGAATGACGTCATCGTGCAAATGGCCTATTTGCCTAGTCACTGTATGGCGTCTCCCCAGGCCTTCTCGGTCAACTACATTTTGGTGACGTATCTACAAATTCGCTCGGATCACGTGATCCGAAACCCACAGACCGCGCAAATATAGAGGCTGAGGGGCCAAGCGAAAATTGAGTGATTTTAAAATCCTTCAAGGCACCAAGCTTCATAGACAAAATGGTCTATACCCAATCTGGTCTACTGTTTACGCACATCGCTTTAAGATAAAGCAAAATCAGGTTAAGTTGATCAGCACTGTGAGTGGTGTAAGAGTTAGTTGTGGTAACTTTCACCCGTCGTGTGATTATGACGTCAAATCTTTGCTTCTCACGGCACCTAACCAGTTAATCCGGAAAGGAAAAGACCAGTCTACGTTGGTCTGTGTTATTTAAGGACGCCGCTTTCCTCGTGTGGAGTGGAATATTAAACAATACTGTATACCGCTGTGCAGCTCTATTAATTATCAGAAGCAAGCGTAATTCCTATAAACTTATAAACAGCGATAAAAAAGATAAATGGTTGATATAGTTAACAAATTATTACAAAAGAGACCGCGCACCATTTAAATCCAGACGCAAGTATAGATTAAAGAAATTGATTTTAAAACGCCTTTTGGTTTTACTTGATATGAGTAAAAACGCATGATCAACAAATCGAATAATCCATGCAAAGGAGGCGGCGTCCTTGTTTTTAACGACGGCGGGTAAAAGATGCCTTCATTTGCGTGGCATTGAGACAAAACGGTTTCCGGGGATATTGTTTTTGCACGGTTGGTTAATATCCCACGATATGCCATGATCATGCAGCTGAAGGTTGTTATAACACCTGACTGTGTCGTTAATTAGGTTGTAATTTTAGTCAAACAGTAAATTTAGATTATTTCACTGCTCTGTATTAATAGATGTTTAAACTATGGCGCCAGCGTATTTTAATATAACCGGCAGAGAGCTGTGATCAGAACTCTATTACTCAATAATATTCCTTTAGAACGCCAAGTGATTCAAATGGACTTGTTGACGGAAACCCTAGAATCAGGGGCACCCAACGAGAATATTTTTCAAAACCACTTAATATAGCATTGTTAAACGTACGTTAGTATTTAAACGGTAGATATAGGCATATTTTTATCCCCTAAAAATTTTTCATCTCACTAGACTTTCAGCTAGGAAATCCGAACATCCGAAAATTATAGGGATCAAAACATACCTTTTCGAAAATTTCAGCCAGAAAAAAGCCTCCCGAAAATTCTAGGTGATCTTTTGAGGGTCAAAATCCGTTAAAAATAGGCAATTATACCATTTTTTAGATGTTCGAAAATCCTAGGAGAGGCAGGCAAGCAAGAAATTTTACAACAAATGTTTCGAAAATTCTAGATCTCGAATCGTCTTCCGAACAGATATTCTTCCGAAAATTGTCATTGGGTGCCCCTGTAGAATTCGCTTACATGGATGAGTAAAAAAGTTTACCTGTTTTTATAATTATGCGTTATCCGCACC